GCTATGGAATTTCACTATATATCTTTAAGGCCAGCCATACCCTCCCAACCTAACAGGGATAAAATAGAGACCCTCGTGGAAACTCTTGAACTCCTGTGGAAAAGGCAGAATGAATGCTTACTACATTGTAGCACTACAGTACATAAGGTCTTAGTAAGACATCCATCTCATATGACCCTTTTCAGCCCCTGGGTTCTTGTAAGTAAGCTGCAGATTTGATTTTGATGGTGGGGATAAAACAAGTATAAAGAGAGACTTGACATATCAAATGTAAATTCATATTAAGAAGGATATTTTCTTCTTTTCTTTCATAGCTGCTTCTTGCTACTGTATTGATTTCATGGGGCTACGTTATTTACGCAACCCGAATAGCAGCCAAGTGGCAATTGAAGGAGATGTATCCCACACAAGCCCAGAATATTTGAGATATCTCCAGAGTGGTATACCACAGAAATACAAGCACATTCTATAACACCATAAATAATAATCTGCAAAACCATGTATTCCAAACTAGAGTGGCTGAGTTGCAGCAGCAACATTGAAGCTTCAGAAATGCAGGTTTAATGTTCTGATACTTAACACTAATAACATATAATTGGGAAAATATCCTTGAATATTTTTTTAAAGATAAATTTACGGCTCAGGCTGGAGCACAGTATTCCAGGCAGCCTACAAACCCAGATTACAGAATGCAGAGTCTTCTGAAGTGATATTCCAGATCTGATATGGAAAGTCAGCCTTAGGAAAGATATAGATTAAAAAACTGATCAAGAAACCTGTTTGGCAGCAGATCAAGAAGTCAATCTCGCAACAGATCAGGAACTTCCAGGTGTCCTGATAGAGGATGTTCTGGAAAGATATATGGGAAAAGGAAATGTAAAATGCAATTACTAGGAGAAGACCCACAGAGGTAACGAAGAAACCTCTTCTACAAAAGAAATCAATGCTTTAAAGATATCCTTACCAAAGCATTAGGCCATTTGTGGAAAAGCCACTAGGAATGCAGACAGACAAGCTCAAGTGGAGACTCAAGAAGAAGAAAAAAACAAGAAGCCAAAGTTTTGAAAGTATTTATGAAGGAAAGTCACTGATACAAGGTATGATAAAAAAGGGGGGGAAAAGAATGAAGTCTCATAAAAATCCTACCAATTCCTCTCCATCTTTTGTTAGGAAAAGACCTTAGTTTTTATACTTTGTTTCCCCCAAAATAAGACCCAGTCTTTATTTATTTATTTATTTTTGGCTCCAAAAGATGGATTTGGGCTTACTTTTGGAGAAACAGTTTCAGGGTGATCAGCCCAGCTGGGCACCTCATCCCCAGCCGTGCACAAGAGGCAGCAAGCATGTGGGAGCTGACTATCCGCTGCAGCCCGGTGGCCCCTTGGGGCACTCAGGCTGCACAGCCTATGCAGTGCAGGTGATTTGATTACCTGTCCAAGCAGCAGATGGAGGCAGAGGCGCGGAGGGAAGGTAGGAAATCCTGATTTGCCACATGGGCTGCAGGCAAGAGGAGTGACGCAAAGACGAAGGTCCTGTAGCCGCCTGCCCACTTCACCCACCATCTCTTGGCTTGCCTGCGGGCCACATGGCGTGTCAGGATCACCTGCCTCCCCTGTGCCTCTACCTCCATCTGCTGCCAGTGCCGCCCTTGAAGACAAGCAAGCCACCCACCCACCCCGGCCACTGACTCAGCTTTCCTGCCTGCACAGCACATATGGATCACCTGCTTTCCCCCCCACCTCTGCCTCCACTTGCTGCTTGAACAGGTAATCAACTCACCTGTGCTGTGCAGGCTGTGGCTGCTACCAGACACCACCCCCTGCACATTCACCACCTCCGGTGCTGACCACATCTCTGATGAACTTAACTGGGTTGTATTTTGGGGGTAGGGCTTAGGAGCATTCTAAAAATTGGGCTAGGGCTTATTTTCTAGTTAGGTCTTATTTTTGGGAAAACAGTAGTTTGTAATGTTTAATAATCGTTATTGGTTTACTATTTTTAACTTTGTTGTAAGGCATAAATAATAATTTGTTTTACCAAAAAGAAATGAAAGTTGTAAAAAAATGGCAAAAAATAATTTTTGGAGTCCCATATGATTCAGCTTGGGTTTTTTACCCCCTCTGGTCACATAGGCAGTAAAGAGCCAGGGATTTTGCAGTTGCTGTGGTTGTTTTTAATCGCTGCTTTGTGGAGGATCATTGGTGCTGGCTTTATGACCTGAGTGCTATAGTTGCTTTTGTAAGTATTTTAAAATATTCTTTTTCTATGTTGGACCAACAGGATGACAATTAAAAACCAAAATTCATGAACACCAACTGGCAATCAACTGACATAACCAGAAGTCTCTGATCTTGAGCCACATCGACAATGAACAAAGTCCCATTTCAACCAGGATGAAGCCAGAATCATTAGCCATGCTAAAAATTCACCATTCATTGAACTCTACTACTCTACAAATGGATCCATCAACAAACACATTGATTTAGAACCAGCATATGATCCTATAAGAAACAAGACCGTTCACAATCGACAATGAAACCGACCACCCCCTCACCAGCTGAATTTCGTGCCAAGCCAATCACATGATGTACTGACCATAACACCACACAAGAGAGAAGTGGAACAAGACGCATAACCCAAAGTCCTGCTGAAGATGTTACCTAGTTTGGTAATAAAATGTTTGGGAGCTAAATGGTAAGTTCAGAGAACAAATCACTACCAAAAAAAAACAGTGAATTTTGTTTAAAGTGTTGTGTAACAATACATTTATTCTATATATGGTTTGAATTAAATTTGTTAATGAAAATAAGGTTCTAAAATTTTAATTGTTTGATTTGGTCCCAGCTCTGCACCAAATACAAAATTTTAAAATAAAACCAACAAAACATTTAACATCAATCTTGTACAGATGTTTCTCCAGTGATCTGGTCTTCCTTTGAAAACTGAAAGAATTTTTGTGCGTGATGAGCTTCAATTTTGCAAAAATTTGTTTGCCAGTAGGCAAGATCTTCAGTTAACTTCCATCTCGTTGTGACCAGAACCACCATTCCCCATTCTAATACTGCTATTTGGCCGTACCAGTAATATATTTAGTAAGTGCCTGTGTAACTTTCCAGAAGCCTAATAAAAAATGAGTTCCTCCTATTTGCGAAAGTGGCTGTGTTCTGATTTTACATAGTTGCAGAGAATTTTGCTGAGAACACATTGAGGTCAAATGTACAGATTCCATAGTATAAGGAATTGAAAAGATACCAAGATCGGAAAAATCTATCAGATAAATTCCAAAGAATGTCCAAATTACTACTTTCTTCATAATCATTCTTCTGTTTTCATTTGCAGCCTACTCCCCAAGATATTACCCCCCCACAAAGCCTACAATATATCCAGTAAGTTGTCTACTATTCTCTGTAACCTCTATTTGTATAGAAAAATCTTAAGATTGTAGATTAAGGTAAACCTAGGCTTATTTTTTATTTCATTTAATTTTTGCCTTCAAATAGTTTTGACTAAGGTGACTGCCATTTTTTTTGGCAAGGTGGTTCAGAAGTGGTTTGGCCTTCCTTCCTAAAGCTTAGAGAGAGGTGCTAGTCCAAAGTCACCAGCTGGCTTCATTGCCAGCATCTTTAACCACTTCCTCAATCGGGAGCATCTACCAAATTACAAAAGGAACACAAAAATATTCTTTGAAAATAATGGGTATGTTGCTTCGTTGCTTAAATGGCTTTAGAATGTTTTCTGTATTAGTCATTTCTGAATATTGAATGTCACAAATGCAAGTTTGAAGTAGACATTTACTTTTTTGACCTGTAATTTTTTTTTTTTTTAGTTTTTACAGCAATACAAAGTTATTGTGACTAGCACTGTTGGCCCTACACCAATTTGTCATATACCAAGGATTTCTAAGTTAAGAAAAATATCTCTTGTATAATTTATATATAAATAATACCAAATTTTCCTCTGGGAAAAAAAGCCATGGAAGTATTTAGTATATATTTTTTTTAATATTTGTATATTGTAACTTTTTTCATTTATCAGGAAGGTAGGCTGGAGGAAAAAGAAGCAACATCACCATCATAAGCTACTGGAGGAGAAATACTAAACTCTGAGGACTGAGAGACTCCAGGACCTGATAAACTAAAAACTTGTTTCCTATATAAATGAACATATAATTCAGCACAGTGGCTTGCATTGGAGGTTAGCAAGCCTTCACTGGAGATTCGAGTGCTGCTGTGGGATAGGGTGAGCTTCCATCCTTCATTCCAGCTTCTGCTGGGGACATGAAAGGAACCCTCAACTGGCTGTCCCCAGGGCAACGGTGAAGTCAGTAGCTAATATTTTCAACTCAGAAGTGCCTTCCACACCAGTGGGATGTGATTCAAAATGGACAATAAGAGGCTTAATGATTTTGGGCTAATGTGGAGTTATCGGGAAGGCACTGCCAGCTGGGATGGTCTCTAATGCAGTCACTAATCGTGTATAGATACTGAATCCAACAACAAAGTACTTTATTTTGGTTACTGATAGGTCTTAGAAAACATACAACTTAGAAACAACTTTAAGATGACTTGGAAGAGGAGCGGGTGCCAGCCAAAATTTCCCAAGGCATGAGAAAGAAGAATTCTGGGCCAAAGCTTCGCCGGGTAGCCGGTGCAAAGCAGAGGTCTGAAATGGGCCCCGAAGAATTGTTCTCAGAACCAGTCGACTCGGAAGACGACTGGCTGCCAGCCAAAATCGCCCGAGGCATGAGGAAGATTTCCAGGTGCGCCTGTCGAGGGCACTGCAGAAACAAGGACTGTGGTTGCCGAAAGCAGAAAATGGCCTGCTCGGAGGATTGCACATGCAACAAAGAAACCTGTCGGGACAATAGTTTCTTGGACGGAAAGCTGAAAGGGGTGCGGGAAAAGAATAAGGAACTCTGCAAAGAGCTGGAAGCCCTTAAGCAGGTCCTGGAAGAGACAATGGAGTCCAAAGCCTTGGAGAGACAATGGAGTCCAAAGCCTTGGCAGCCCCCCAGTGCAGCATCCCGGCCTCATTCCCAGGACCCTCAGGGGGAGCCTGAGCATCCAGCCCACCCTGAGAAAACGTCAGAAGGAAAGTTTCTTTTCCAGCTGCACCCGAAGTGAAGCCCCTCCCCTTCCTTTAAAAAAAAAATCCTTAGAAAACTGCTTTTTGTATGTTTAATAAATGTTAAAGATACAGATTCATAATTAAAAAAATAGAAACAACTTTAAAAGATAAATAAAACAAAATGGAATACATAGCCAAAGAAGTTAGTTTCTTCATTCAGGTAAACCACTTTGAGCCCTGAGGCTGCTCACACTAAAGCTTCGGTGTGGAGACCTTCGTAAATATATCCAGAACTATGAGGCTGATTTTAACCTTGTTGTAATGTAGATACTAATGAGTCCGTACAAAATGCTTGCATCTACCTCTGTTCGTCTTTTGGTTGTATTGTTTAAATTATTAAAAGGGACTAATTGTTTTTAAATATCCAGAACTAATAAACAGGAGGGTTAATGGTTAGTGTTATTATTAAGCTTGGAGAAAAATTAATTGTAATTGAATTAAATCTAGTGGTTGTCCTGTTAACTCTTGATGGCTGTTAAGCAAAAAGCAAAATTTGATGACATTGAAAGAGTGTATCAGCTAAAAGATGATTTAAAAAAGCCATTAAGGGCTAAGGATTGTACTAGAGAGGTAGCAAGGAAACCTTGTCTACCAGAGAAAGCCTAAAGATATCTCTATCAAAGCCCCAGGCCATCTGTAGAAAGGCAGGTAGCATTGCAGTCAGACAAGTTCAAGCGGAGACTCAAGAAGAAAAAAGGGCCAAGAAGCCCAAGCACTGAAATTATTTATGAAGGAAAGATTCCTAATACAAGATGTGATAAAGAGAAATATATCTGAATCATAGATCTGCATCACCAGCCTCCGTTGGATCCATAGATGGGAGGGCCAATAGTGGGGGTTATAGGGACATCATTTTCTGTAGGAATCCTACTTGCCTTCAGAGGCTGCTGCCATAGTTTAAAAATGAGCTTACAGTTTTGTTTGGTATTCATGGTTCTCCAATATTGTACAACATATAATAATGCATAATTTAATCAAGTTTGGTCTAGAAAGCCAGGCATGTGCTAAAGAATTACAACTTTTCTTATTTCAAAATAGGGAACACTTCTTACATGAATTTACCAACTTTGCTAGATGTCCATTTAATATAGATGCATATGACGAGCATGCAAATTATGACTGTCCGGCTCTAGCAGGTAAGGAAGCAACTCTGACTCTTCTATTATTACCATCTCCCAATTAGACTGAAACCCAAGTACCTGAATGCAATGCTTTCAGAAGTGACACGGGCCAGGCACCCTGGGATGATGAAATGCCAGGCCCATCTTATTCTAAGTTAAAGCAAATTCATGCTTCTCCATCTTCTGTTTTAAACACTTCTGGAAGCTCTGATGAAGACCCTTCTGCAAACATAACTGGGTTGCAGATGTCACAACCAGCAAAAGTAGAAGCAACAGGCCCAAGAAAAGGGGGACGGATTGTATCAAAGAGGACCTGAAATGCGTGGATGTCACCCTGAAAATGCGCTGGATGGAGCCAAATGGAGAAGACCCTGCCATAACATGGGAAGAGCACTTAGAAGAAGAGCAGCCTATCCAACTGCGCAGCTTTAGTGCTGCTGATGCTGGTTGATCTGCATTAACTTCCTCTGCTGGTTCCAGAGATAGTCTGGCCAATCATAAGAATAATGAATGTCTCTCCTCAGTGAGAATAGAAGATCCAAGAGGAGTGAAAAAGAGGAGACTAAATTAAGAAAAGCAACTTAAAGTACTATTCTTTGTTAAATATTCTTGGAAACCTTATTTTTCCTCTTAGTTACAAGTTTTTGCTTTGTAGTTTAACCAACATTTAGTTGTCCTTATACATCTTGTTTGCTTTATATGAAAACGCCTTAGTTTTTAATTTTTAATTAATGGTTGAGGCAACCACAAGAACTCTCTATCTCTTGACACAAAATGGTGGTAAAGGAAGTTAGGAAGAATGTTTTTATAATAATTGTTACTTGTTCACTATTGCTTTGAACTTTGTTCCAATGCATAAAGTATAACTTGTTTTATGAAATTAATTTTAATAAATTAAAATGTCATAAAATTGAGTCCTACTCATTTGATGACATTTTTTTTACTTATGACCCTAATGGGCAGGCTCCAATTGTTAAGTATTACCGAAGTCTTTATTTTTCCTCTTAGTTACAATTTTTTTTCTTTGTACCTTAGCCAATATTTAGGTGTCTTTGTGCATATTGTTTACCTTATATAGCTGGATGAAAAAGCCTTCATTTTTTTAATAGTTATTGTTTACTATTGTTTCTAACTTTGTTGTAAGGCATAAGGAATAATTCATTTTATAAAATAAATTAATTAAAATGTGACCTTGGAGTGCTTGGTGTTTTCTGAGTTTGGTTGTTTGTTTCATTATCTGACTGGATAATATCTTCAGTATTAGAAAGGTGTAGGCTTTACTTCTGTTTATAGTCTATTCATTAAATAATGACAGTGCAGATCAGTCCCATATCATGATATAACCTTCTCCAAAGATTTTTAAAAACTTGCCCTGATCAGATTTGGTTTAATTTTTGTTATATGCTTATTCCAGTTTAAAAGCTAAACCCAGAACTGATTTGTTAAAAGTAATGTATGCACAAATTACCCATAGGCTAATATTTCTCATTTGGGTTAAGATCTGATACATTTCCATTTATCCAGATAAAATAATTGATACACAAAGACATGGTTGGCCTTTATTAGATTAGTGTACTATGTAGGTCCCCCAACTAAAAACTTCATATGACTATTCTTACTAAGTCATGAACTGCCATTCATTTTTATTTAATGCTAGAGGCGGAGCGAATGGGGGCAGAGCTGACGTCACAACGATCCTGCATGCAATCTCGGAGGTCTGAGATTGCATCCGATATCTTTGCCTCTGGACGGTCCCAACGTACCTAAACCGTCCTGAAGAGACGGTGAAAGTTTTGCCTGGGAAAGGAGGGGGAAAGTGAGAAGAAACTTTGAGAAGAAACTTTGTAACACTGCCAACTAGAGGCTTCAAAATATCTTAAGACAAGCTGTGAAAGCTGAGAAAGAAAGATCAGAGACTCCCTTTCAAGGACATTGCAATGTGATAAGATAGAGGGAAGAGCACAGGAGAGTGTTATTGCAGGTGTTCTTCTGGATTTCTATCAACAATTGAAGCTTGGTTTTGAAGTTTGTGGAGAAGAGAATTATAATAAGAGCCTTGGATGATTAAATAAAGTGCAGTGTGCTCTTTTTATTTTTTTTAAGTTGTGCTATCCCTCCTCACCAGCTTTACTGTACTACTTTTTTTTTAAAAAAAAAGCGCCTTTATTTTTGTAATATTTTTATTTTTGCGTTTTATTTTAAAGGGAAAGCCTCAAAAAATTTCTTTTTCTTTTTTTTCCCCTTCTTTGGGATTTTTTCCTTTTTCCATCTATACTTTTGGTTCATTTTTATGTTTTTATTTTTTTTATTTTTGAGACCTTTTAATTGGATTAAGGTGGTGAAGAACCTAAAGAATTTCTTTTTTTCTCCTTTTTTTTCTTTTTTCTTTTGTTCCTTCCATTCCTTAACTATTGATTTGATTAAGGCTTAGAAGAACCTGAACTGCCATTCATTTTTCTTTAATGCTAGAGGCATTAAAATCAAATTAAGGTCTCCAATATCTGAATACCTGGTTTTCTAAGAAGACATCAGTAGAATGAGACTTGCCTTAGTTTCGTTATCAAATAATCATTGTCTGATATACTTCTGGGTCAGATTACCTGTAACAAACTCTGATCATGTGATAATTTACCCTCTTGTGTTTGTTAGTGAATAGCATTTTGGTATTGTCGTTATCATTAATCTGCAATGAAAGGTTATCACAGGAGTTAACAAGAGCATATACCACTTCCTAAATCTACAGGTAGATTTACAGGTAGTTCTCGTCTGGCATCTGCCTTGTGCAGCAACCGTTCAGTTATGATAGCAATGAAAAAGTGTAACCAATCCTCTCATTTGCAACATTCGCAGGTCTGTAAAACAAAGGAAATTGGCAAAGTAAGATCTTAAGCACATCAACAACTGAGTTGTCTGTCCCAATTGTGATTACTAAATGAGGACAGGAGTTTTAGAATTATCCATCACCTATATAAAATGGTCAAAATTTGTGGAAGATAGTCTAAATAAGCATCAAATGGATTAATACTGTATAGAACAATAATGGAGCCAGGATGCATTCTTGCCTAGCCCCTATAATTTGGATTTTTTTTTAAAGCAGGTGTCCTTGGCTACTGCAGTGAACCCCAATATATGCGTTCACGTTATTTTGACATCAAGATCATAATTTACGCCCAAACATTGTTTTAAAATCAGGTTAAATGTGGATCAAGGATCAATTAATGCTGGTTATAAACCTAGATGAGTTTTGGAGTTTTCCTGTCCAATAAAGGCTGAAAATAAAAATGAATGCCCCAGCCAAAAGTCAAAATGTTGCCCTGACACAGGTGTTTGATATACAACTGACTGATTATACTTACAGATTAATTGGTCTGTAGTTTGGGGACAACTTTTTGATGTATTGCAGGTAGCATTGGCACTTCTATTGAATCTATTAGTACTCCTGATTTAGTAGCTGACCTTGGATTTTATAGAAGCTGCAGATGAAATTAGACAAGTAAATTCAAAATATTATAGATTGGCTATCAAGGACTCAATTAGTGCACTCAAAAAACAATTCTTTTAACTGATATAATAAAGTGAAGCAAAAAATAAAATAAAGTTACATTTAATTTACATAAATTTTATTAAGTAAAATTAAATAGTCCTTTAAAAATGTCCCTAATTAGATAACCTTGGCTTTTAACAATACATTGTAGAATGGATATATTTAATGAAACATACCAGTATGATGAGGATTTTTCTTCAGAATAGTATCAAATAGCTTGATCATCCATTTAAGTTCAAATTCTCACTGGATACCATATACGTTTTTTGCCAATCCTTCCATAGCTATTCAGGCATTTAGTTCTGTACCATTAAAAGCATTGTGTAGGAGAGTAACTTTTAACTTGAAAACCAAACCAAACTTTCTTGAATCTAGTTAGCCTTGCTCTTCTGAAACATATTGAAATAAGCAGTAAAGTGGAAAACATAAAATTCTTTTTTAAAAACTGTATTCAAAAATATTTTCTCAGTTATATGTTAATAGTACTGCATATCAGATGTTCAACTGTTTTGATATCTTTATCTGCATTTCTGAAGCTTCAATAATACTTGTGCAGCTCAACCACTCCAGTTGGGAATTCATGTTTTTGCAGATTATTATTTATGGTGTTATAGAATGTGCTTGTATTTCTGTGGTATTCCACTCTGGAGATATCTCAAATATTCTGGGCTTGTGTGGGATACATCTCCTTCAATTGCCACTTGGCTGCTATTCGGGTTGCGTAAATGACATAGCCCCACGAAAGCAATACAATAGCAAGAAGAATCTGTGAAAGAAACGAAGAAAATACCCTTCTTAATATGAATTTACATTTGATATGTCAAGCCTCTCTTTATACTTATTTTATCTCCACCACCCAAATCAAATCTGCAACTTACCTACAAGAACCCAGGAACTTAAGAGGTTCATATGAGATTGTGCTTATGTACTATAGCTATTTATTAAATGTTAATTCTGCCTTTTCCACAGGAGTTCCACAAGAGTTTCCACAAGGGTCTCTATTTTATCCCTGTTAGGTTGGGAGGGTATGGCTGGCCTTAAAGATATATAGTGAAATTCCATAGCTGAGAATGAATCAGAAGTTGATTCTCTGCATCCTAGTCCAATACCTTCACCCCAAAACCACAGTGATTATTGTGCACAAATAAGTTTTATGTTAACCACTTTTCTTGAGTGAATCATAGTTTGCTTGATGCATTTAATTTGCTAAATTATAAAGCATAGTTTACAATACATAATGGTCTAATTTAAATCCCAGCAAGCCAGAATTGGAGCCAGTTTGGTCTAGTTGCAGGAGTGTCAAATTCAAAGGCCAGGGGCCAGATCTGGCCTGTGGGGTACTTAGATCTCACCTGCGGGGCTGTCCTGGATACAGTGAAGGACCAGCCCATGCTTTCCTGTGGTCAGCCCTCCCAAGCTCTGTTTTCACTGGCAGAGAGTTGCAGGAGGCTGTTGCAGGTGAAAATGGAGCTTGGGACCCCGTTTTTGCTGGTAGACTACTTGGACCCCACAAGTGCCCCCAACACAATTGAAGTTGAGCTGGCCATGCCCACCCTGGCCCCCCAAGATCAAACACAACCTTGATGCAGTGCTCAATGAAATTGAGTTTGACACCCCTGGTCCAGTGGTTAAGGCACCAGTCTAGAAATCAGGAGACTAGGAGTTCTAGTCCTGCCTTAGGTGTGGAGTGCAACTGGATGATTTTAGGCCACTCACTTTTCTTGCGGTCCCATGAAAGCAGCAATGGTAAAGTATATGTAAAATATTGGCAGAAAAAGGGCAGGAACTCCAGACAGTTGTCAAGTATCAAAAGCAGAAAAAAAAACCCAAAATGTAATCCCTTTGAGGGTTAAAATAATAGGTAAACATGGTTTAACAAGAAAGCCAAAAAGTACGTGCTTATTTCAGATGTTTAGGGTAAAATTAGAACAAAGCTCATAAGACTTCACCTAATGTTTTATTCTGTTTTTCCTAGGAATTTATATTTTTTACAGT